CAGACGCTTCGCCCGTTTGGCCTGACGTTTTTTTGTGTAACATCTAGGATCAAATTGGGGTATATATGTTTTTCTTTTTCTTAAAATAATGTTATTGTGACTTTTGGCAGACCTTACAAAATTTGCTCCAGTTAAAAAAAACATGTTTTTTTGATAGGGCTTCCAGTATTTTGGATCTCCCAAGCGAAGAAAAAAATATTTTTCAAAGAAAAAAAAAGTATACGCCCCAATTTGTTCCTAGTTGTTACACAAAAAATTTCAGCTCAATCGGTCGAAGTGTCTCGAAGAAAAAGGGGGAAACTTCATATCATTTTGGGCCCTTGCGCCCCATATATCGCATAGAAGGAAACATCTGGGATTTCTGAGTCTCCAACAACTTTTGCTCTACTACTCGAAATCTATCTACCCTGAAAGTTTCAGAATTTTTGGTCGAACCGTTCTCGAGAAACCCGGGAAAGGGGGAGGGGTACCCTTAAAGAAGAATTAAGTCTTTTAAAAAAATGCTACGTCATAACGGTTATTCACCTCATATTACTTGTAGACGTATAAAACAATGGCAGTTTATATTTCAACGCCTTCAACGTTCACAACCTAAAATCAAGCCTCAGCAATAAGTTTATTCTACTCACAATAGCCTACTACGGGCAAGAATCTAGCATACTTGCCACAAGAATCAAGAAAGTGTGTAAGAAATACATACTACACATTGACATTCACTTCGCCTTTCGAAAGCAACATACACACTAAAATCAATATTTCTTCCACTCATTAAAGGAAACGACTCAAATCATTGCCAACAAAAACTCGTCTATTTCATCCCATGCGCAAGCTGTGAGAAAGTATATATAGGTGAAACAGCCTGAAATCGCGATATTAGACTAAGAAAACATCAAGCGAATATTAGGAAACATGAATCTTCATCAGCCCTAACAAAAAATAGAGAAACAGAAAAACATTTGTTTGATTTCAATAATGTACGAACGCTATCTCGAGAAACTGATTGATCACGAAGAATCATAAAAGAGAGTATACTCACACATGAATCATTCGGCAAGGCACTGAACGACACGAAGAACACGTGGAAAGTGTTCGGACAGTTAAAAAGTTCTAATAGCTCTTCATATTGTTGTTATGGTTGTTGTTGCCGTTGTCTTCATTAGTTTTGAATCTAATAAATCATTCCTGATGATGTTTCAAGAGAGGAACGAAAGCTTTAATCAAATGATTTGTCATTGATTAATTCAGTACAATGCTATTCGTAGCAGCTATTCGCTTCTTTTTTAAACTTCTATTACCTACAGCCAATAACGATAACTTCATAATATGTGATGCATTATTTGTAATAAAAAGAATTCTATTTGGTGTGTATTCTTTAAAATAAAAAATTGGATTTGGAAAAAAAGTACCTTTAAGAATCTGGTTTTGAATAAGTTTTAAAATATTTATTTATCCGAGAAGTAAAATGCTTCAGAGAATACTGAAGACCAAAAAAAGAAAGAAAACTTTAAATATTCACCTATATTAAAATATGAATTCATTGTCCTTTTGATGTTTTAATACATTATTTCCTTCAGTTACTTCAGTTGATGAAATAAATGATTCAATTATTAAATTAGTTCAATTATGTAGGAACTATCCGAATCCACTTTTAGACCTTTTATATGCATTTCAATCTTTTCAAAAGAAATTAAATGATGAAAAAGATATTGGTTCAGAAAAAAATTGAGTCTTTCAAGTTTCATACCAACTTCATAAATTTGTTCGATTGGTTACATTAAATAAAAATGAGCAAGAGAAATTTGAAAAAATTCTGACATGTTTAGAAATTGGTATTCATGAACTATTTGTTAGTATTATACTTACATGTTTTTATTTCTCTTTTTTCTCTTCTAGAATGGAATAAATGAAATTAAATCTCAACTTAATCAAATTCAAGACGAAAATGAAAAAACTATAAAAAAACTGAATTCGATGGAACTTGATAACATTAAAACTGATGTTCAATTTAACCGTAAAATTATTAGTCTTCAATATTAAGTTAATCATTGGAAGTCAATGCAATGTTTCCTTATTTAAATCTATGTTAGAAATATCCTTAGAAAATAAGCAAGTGAGCTGATAATTCGGGATGTAAGAGCACATCTTTTGTCACTGATGGTAGTTGATGACATGAAAGCGGCTTTCAATCAAAGAAACGAACAAAGCCCAAACTCAAAATAAATCGATTTTTTAACTACACATGAGCCATCAACATTAAACGATATGGAATTTGCAGAAAAACTACCCGTTGATAAAGCATTAGCAATAATGTGTAATCATATTCAAAAATTTTCTATTGGTCTCAATTCATCATATGTCAAATCATTAATTTACTGATTCACAAGGCAAAAAGAAACTATCAGTCGCATGGATTAGTTGAATGTTTTATAAAAGACGTTCTGAAAAACCGATGTGATGAGCACGATTTAGTCCCATTCGCTCATGCACTTGTAAATGTCGCCATAAGAATTACCTAACCGAAATCCCACTTTCCCTTGGTTTCCAAGGTTTTTATGAACCACAGTCCGTTCTAATTCATGTTGACTCGTGCAAGCATTACACCATTCAATAGAACGTTGAATTCTGCATCGACTCATATATGATTCGTCTGTGGCTTATTCACTTGAACGAATCGTTATGAGAATTAATGGGAAGAAATCTCAAGTTTTCATAGGTTTCAAAGGTTTTTTGGGGCAAAGTCGAATTGGATTGATTTTGAACCGTGCGAGCTGTACACCATTCGATTTAACTTGCGGTTCTGCATCGATTAGTGTGTTTTTCAAAGGTGACTTAAGCTACTGGGCGACTCGTCATAAGTAATACTTGCGAAAAACTAGGTTTTGAGGTTTCCTGTGAACCTAGTCGGTTATAATAGAATTTTACCAATATAAGTTACATACTATTAGATAGAGCGTAAAATTTCGCATCGATTGCCGTATAATTCACGAGTGGTTTATGTACTCAGACGAATGACCATGATTTTTAAGAATTTTCCCCCTATGTATCTTCTGCATTATTTTAGTTTTTGTGGCCATCAACTTGAAGTTTCCGGAAATCTGATTACATCTTTAGATAGAACTCGTCGAGTTCTATGTGGTTTACTAGTTTTCTTTCGTGATCTAGTCGCTCTGGCGAATCGTCATGAAAAATACTCGAATCGGCTGCTAAGTTTTCTTACATAAATGTTCGTTATTTATTAATTTTCTAGGCAACGGTTTTCGGACAGTTGGTCGCCGGACAGGTGCGCGCGGGCAGTTGATCGCAGGACCGTTGGTCGCATGGACAGTTGGTCGCATAGCATAAATAAGAGGAATATGAAGTGCAAAAACAATTGAACATTATTTATTATTTTATAAATAATTAAACAGAGAACATTACAGAGAAATCCGAACAATAAGACAACAAAATGTAACAAGTAAAACAAAGTTTTCAATAGTGAATAAGACAGCAACCAAAAAAAAATTATAGAGACAATAAACGTTCAATGCACGTTAATTGATCATTTTTTGGTAAATCTGTTCTGATTTAGAAGGTAAAAGAATAAATGCTACTGGAATTACATGATCCCTGTATAATGCATGTATTGCAAACAATTGAAAAAAGATCTCTGGTACGATCTTGAATGTACCATCGATGAAAAAGTCCTATAATGAAAATATTTTATCAGTTAAATTTAATATTTTAAAAACTTACTGTAGCATTTTCCATAATTTGCTGTTGTTCATCAGTGAAAAACAATAACATTCTGTTCAAACCTGGACCTGTATCTTTCCGAAAAAACATAGTGTTACGAGTTGTTTGATGATATTTTGTTGGAATAACTGGAAAATCAAAGGTTGTTGGTGTTGGTTCAGTAGTAGTTACTTGACGCCAACGACGAACATTTCGTTTTAAACTATCATTCGTTGGTAATTGAACACGTACCTCATCTGGTACACCAATGTTTACTTGAGTTAATATATTATGTGGATTTGTATGATTTTGTTCTGATTCTTGTTTTAACTTTTCAAAATATTTACGGGTTGCTGCGCAGCATGAATTGCCAACATGATTTT